CCCCAAATCCAAGAACTTTCTCCTTGTTTTCTTATCGAGCCCCACGGTGGGGCTGGCCGGCTCGGGGGGGCTCATGTCCCGGCTGTCGTCTGCAGGACGAGGACAGGGGTGTCACCCACTTCCCCCCACATGGGTGCTGGGTCCTGGCATACCCCGGGTCGGGGGAGGGTCAGAAGGAGGATGGGGGTCTCACCTTCGCTGTGCCTCTGGGGCCGGGCGTCGCGGCGGGCAAAGCCGGGCGAGCTGTCGGAGCTGTGGCAGGACTTGGGCGAGGGGGTGCCCGCGAGCCCCTCCTGGGACGAGGCGTTGGTGAGGGGCCGGTAGCGGCTGAGGGGGGGCGAGGGGGCCAGGGGGTCCCCCAGCACCCGCTGCACCACCCCCACCTCGAAGGAGAACTCGGCGCCGTGGGAGAAGGGTGAGGGGGCTGGGGGGCCGCCATCACCCTCCCCTCCCTGGGGAGGCACACGGCATGGAGGGGGGGTCTGTCAAACCCCTGTAGCCCCCCCGGGGTGTCGCACCCCTGTAGCCCCCCCGGGGTGTTCCCTCCTTGTAGCAGCCTCCCGGGGTGTCCTCCCATCCCCTCCTTAACCCCAGCCATAGGGTCCTCCAAAACCCTTCCCTTGGGTCCGTGGTGTCCCCCCCCAAGCCCAGCAGCCCCCCCCTTCCCGGGGCTCACCGCCACCTCGGGCCCCTCGTCACCCTCGGTGGAGCTGGCGCTGTCTCGCAGGCGGGAGCGGGAGGGCCGGTGGCGGCGGCCCTTGGCTAGGAGCCGGGCACGGGCCTTCTGCAGGCTGCTGTCCAGGCGCGGCGTCTCTGGAACCACAGCGGTAAAATCTGGGGGTGAAAGAGAGACCGGGGCAGAGAGAGAGAGAAGGACAGACGGACAGGGGGGAGCAGGATGGGGTGGGTGGGTGGATGGATGGAGACAGGGAGAAGGAGATGGATGGACAAATGGAGAAGTAGGGACAAGGAGATAGGAGGGAGAGAGGGATGGATGGATGGATGGATGGATGGGTAAGGAGAAGGAAGATGGGGATGGATGGATGGATGGATGGATGGATGGATGGATGGATGGAGACATGGAAAAGGAGGTGGATAGACAAATGGAGAATTAGGGCCAAAGACATACAAGCAATGGGTGGTTGGAAGGATGGATGGGCATGTAGGGAGGGAAGATATGGATGGGTGGATGGACAGACAGGTAGGGAGAAGGAATATGGGGATGGATGGGGAAAGGGAGAAAGAGACGGGTGAACAAGTGGAGAGGGAGGGACAAAGAGATACAAGGGAGGGATGGTTGGAAGGATGGATGGACAGGTTGGAAGGATGGTAAGAAAAGGGGATGGTGGACGGACAGATGGGTAGAGCCAAGATGGGGATGGATGGAGGGATGGGGACAGGGATAGACAAGTGGAGAGGTAGGGACAAGGAGACACGAGGAAGGAAGGGAAGGACAGATGGACATGTAGGGAGAGGGAAGACATGGATGGATGGACAGACATACACAGGTAAGGAAAAGGAGACGGGGGGATGGACAGGTAGGGACAGGGAGACAGGGAGGGAGGGATAAGGCCAGGTAGAGGTAGAAGAGGTGGAGGGACAGATGGATGGGTAAGGACAGGAAGACGGATGGAGGGACAAATGGCCAGTTAGGGACAGGGAGAAGGACGGGAGATCATCAGAGGGAAAGGTGGACAGACAGTCAGGAGGAGAAGGCCAGCCCGGGGGAGAGGGGACAGAGGGACAGCGGGGCACAGGGACAGGGCAGGAGAGTCAAAGGATGGGCAGGGGATCCCAGGGGGGATGGGAGAGGGGGGCATTGGGAACATGGATGGATGGGGAACCCCGGTGGGGTGGGACAGGGGACAGAGGGACAGAGAGAAATGTTCAAAGAGATGCCCCGGCACGGGGAGAGGAGCAGTGGGGTGTCCCTGAGGACAGAGTGTCCCCATCACCTGGGGTGGGGGGGGGGAAGTGGCTTTGCCCAGGGTCTGCCTGGGACCACCCCGCTGTCCCTGCCCTGCTGCAGCCTCCTGTACCCCAGCCCTGGCCCAAGGAGGGGCTTCAGGCCATGTCCCCTGCTGTGGCCCCATGTCCCTGTCACACTCTGTGTGCCCATACCCACATGCCTGTGTCCTCTGTGTCACCCTGCATGTCCCCATACCCATATATCTGTGCCCCACGTATGTTCCCCTGCCCCATACGTGTCCCTCTGCAGGTGGCTTCATGCCCCATGTGTCCACTAGCACATGTTGTCCCCAAGCCTGTCTCTGGGGTCCCCCCCTCATCACTGGCAGGCAGGAGGACATGGAGGGAGGGTGGGGGGACCCGCGGGGGCTGCACCCACGGGTGGCTCTGCGCCCCACGGATCCCCAGGGGGGACTCACCGAAAACCTCATCCGCATCCTGCAGTTTGGAGACCGACATGGTGGGACAGAGCTGGGGACAGAGGGGACAGTCAGGGATCGGGGAACCCATGCTGAGGGGGTGGGGGGTGAGGGGGACCCTAATGCACCCAGACCCTCTGCAAGT